GTCAGGACTGGAAACCAGTAGAAAGTGGAGTTAAAACTCACCTGATCAGATTTTTGCTTCTCCTTCTGTTCACACAAACCGAGTCGGAGCGAACAGGAGAACTGGACCTGATTCTCCAGAACCTGAACCGGATCCACCTGAGGCTCCGCCCCCTCTGACAGCAGAGGTGTGTTCACCTGTTGAAATGACAGGAATCCTGTCTGATCATCGATACCAGGAAATAAATGTTTTAAATAATACATTTTAAATGTATTTAGTATTTTTAATCAATATTTTATTAAATTAATGGAGATTTTCAGTTTTATCTATAAAGAAATTTAACAACCAACAAATTTCTGCTCAGAAACACAAGAGCAATAAAACTAATAGTTTCTGCTTGTTCTAATCTGAGCCAACAGAACCAAGAATCTTGAAATGTTGATGTTTCTCCACATGTTGACACGACCATCTGATATGTTAATATTTATCAAATACAGATTTTATTAATTTATTTAATCATGTTTAATGTTGATCTGAAGGAAACTTTGATTCTCACCTGAACCTCTTTCATCCTGAACAAAATGCTCTTTAAGCTTTGGCCTCTTTTAGTCTGGAGGCTTTAAGTTGTTTAACTGGTTTGTCTCAAACGTTTCGATGGAAAAGTTAAAAACCTGCTGAGTTACAAACAGGTTTTAATCACTGTAGGTGTTTACTGGAAGATGTTTATCAGTTTCTGTCTCTGCTGTGCAGGAATGTTTCCTCGGTGCCTCAGTTTGGGTTGAGGTTCACACAGGAGATAATGGTTTCCACGGTGACATATAGCTGGAAAACAAGGCCTAAACTATCAGTTCTCTACTATTGGGTCCCGTCAAACAATTGATAATATATTATTTATGGGAGAAAACCATTGCCTCAACATTTAATGCAGACCAAGTGCTCCCTATATGTGACTGAATCTGGTTCAGTGCAGGGAGAAAAGTTCAGATTGAACCTTACAGCTGATGCCTATCATCCATCTCAACCAGTTAAACCAGTTTGAACATTTATTTATAATCTTTCCTTCA